TGATCCACTGGGTCCGGTGCTCTCATTTTTCTTATTCACTCTTTCCTCATGGACCTGCACCATCTCTGCTGTTCTTGCTGGATTTCCCACTGTGAATTCCACATGGTTTATCTCAGGCATGTAGTTTCAGATAGTCTTCAAATGAGAGCTCTTTTTTAATTTTAAACCCTGTAGCTTTTACAAGTTTACAAAAATAATCACATGGGACCTTTCTTATACTCAATTTCATAAGACAGGTGCTGTCCTTTATTCTTTTTAAAGATTTATTTATTTATTTGAAAGTCAGAGTTACACACAGAGAGAAGAAGAGGCAGAGGGGCAGAGGGGCAGAGAGAGAGAGAGGTCTTCCATCCATTGGTTCACTCCCCAGTTGGCAGCAATGGCCAGAACTGTGCTGATCCGAAGCCAGGAGTCAGGAGCTTCTTCCTGGTCTCCCACGTGGGTGCAGGGGCCCAAGGACTTGGGCCATCTTCTACTGCTTTCCCAGGACATAGCAGAGAGCTGGATGGGAAGTGGAGCAGCCAGGACACAAACTGGCACCCATATCAGGTGCTGGCATGGCAGGTGGCGGTTTTACCCACTATGCCACAATGCCAGCCCCGGGTGCTGTCCTTTAGGACATAAATATGCTTTGTAAACTATAAATCAAGGATGAGGAAAGCATGCACTGTGAGCTCTTGTTATTTGTTGTTAGATCAACAAGAGAGTGGGGATGTAAGGGTGTTCTGTCTACCTGTTGCAGCATATGAGCCAGTGTGTGGCATTTTTTGTCCTCTTGATTAATATGAAGAGTATTGGAAATCCTTAGTAGAGGACCTTTTTTTGACTCATTTTCATCCCTGAATATCAGAATGCCTAGTACAGAGTAGGTACTCAATAAATGCTTGTTGGATAAATGAATGAGGCAATGAATCATAGATTTTTGAAACTTCAGTCCTCACTTTGAAACTTCTCCATTTATGGATCTCTCATTAGTCTGGCAATTAAGTTTCTAGTTCCTTCTATACTGCTAACTATCTTTTAACATGAGACTCATAAAACCTCACTAGTTTCTTTGAGGGATCTAAAGGAAAATAAATAGTTTTAAATATTCAATTACTTTATAATCTAGCATGAAATTGGATCCTGAGCAGTATGTGACTTTGGGGAGATTGTTGTCTAGCTGAGTGTGACAATGTTTAGTACCATAAATGTGAAAGGAGATGGTGTGAGATGTGTGAAATCATTCTGGATTTTTTTTTCTGGAAAACAGAAATTTTGTGTTGAAGGAATTAGATATCAATAGCACAAATCAATGGAATATCAATAAGCATGTAAGTGGGAATTAACCTGTCTTCTGAAGCAGTGTTTTCCAAGTTCAGCAGTATATTAGAATAAATAAGGAAGTCCTTAAAAATCCCATTGACTAAACTACATCCCAAACCAATTACATCAGAATCTGTGAAAGTAATACCCGGGAATCATTATTTTAAACATATTCCCAAGTGATTCTTACATACAGCTAAATTTGAGAACAAATGTTCCAAAGCTGTGCTTCTCAAACTCTAACCACCTGGAGAATTTGTTAAAATGCAGATTCTGCTCCAGTAGGCTTGAGGCAGGACCTGTGATTCTATATTCTGACAAGTTCCAAGTTGATGCTGATGCTGGTGGAACAAGGAACCTGGAATAATAAAGTCCCTCAAAGGTAGATAAATATATTATATGTCAGGTAGTAAAAGCAGGAACATGGAGCTAACATTTATTTAGTGTCTATGTGCCAGGCATCGTGCTGGTAAATTTACGTACATTATCTCATGTAATCTTATAAACAACCATGGAAGATTACTTTTCTTCCTATTTTAGAAATGAGACTGAGGTTCTAAGTGGGTAAATCATTGCTTAAGGTGGAATAGCTAAATCATGATGGAACCTGGATCAAACATAAACATGTCCTACAGCAAAACTCATAGGTTTTTCCGTTAGAAAATTGTTGGAAACTCTCAAATGCCAAACATAATTATTTATATCTGAAATGACAGGTAATAGCTTTGTGAGTACAATCTTCAGGGATCACTTAAGGAAAGTCCGAGTGTTGCCAAGTTTGATTTCATACTCATACCTCATGCAGTATATCTAGGCAGGTAAAGAACATGATACCGTGTATGCCTTTAGACTGTGGCTATGCTGCAGTGCCATGGCATTAAAAATATCCTGGTGAAGTTAGAGTAGAATGTCAATAAATTCTTGTAGTAAAATATTATCGCTAGGGGAATATATCAAAATTCAAAAGTAAGGATGAGTGGAGAAGAGGTGTAGAGGGAGATTGGATAAAGGGTACCAAAGCACAGTCAGATAGAAATAGGTTATGGAGCAGGCGTTGTGTCACAGTGGGTTAAGTCAGCACTTGGAATCCCATGTCAGAGTACCTGGTTCAAATCCATACTACTCCATACTTCCAATCCAGCTTCCTGCTAATGTGCCTGGGATGAAAGAAACAGGTTGTACTGAGGCTGGCGCTGTGGCATAGTGAGCTAAGCCTCCGCCTGTGGCGCCAGCATCCCATATGAGCACCAGTTGATGTCCTGGATGCACCTCTTATGATCTAAATCCCTGCTGTGCCCTGGGAAAGCAGTGGAAGATGGCCCAAGTGCTTGGGACCCTGCACTCACATGGGAGACCCAGAAGAAGCTCCTGGCTCCTGGCTTCAGACTGGCCCAGCTTGAGCCATTGTGGCCATTTGGGGAGTGAAACAGCAGATGGAAGACCTCTCTCTCTGTCTCTCCCTCTGTCTGTAACTCTGCCTCTCAAATAGATAATCTTTTTAAAAAATAAAAAAACAGGTTATACTAGTGGAAGCAATCTTTCCAGTTTAGAAGGCCATTCCTAATGTAACTCGGCCACATGAAACTTCTTTGTTATCATTATCTTATATACTAAACAACTTTATCATATAATAGCCATTACTGTCAAAGTTACATGAAAATTACTACTAAATAATAAATATCCTGCAAAACTATTAAGAATTTCTTGCCAGGTTTTTTTTCCCCTTAGAACATATCCCTACAAGGATATAGGATAGAAAAAGAAAAATACAACTTATATACAGATCAATAGAACTACAGAACCAGAAGGTAGATGCAGCAGCATTTTCTTAATACTGTTATTTAATGTTCTATTAGAATACATTGCAGGGCTGGTGCTATGGCACAGTAGGTTAATCCTCCACCTGCAGTGCTGGTATCCCATATGGGTGCCGGTTCTGGCCCTGGCTGCTCTTCTTCCAATCAAAATCTCAGATATGGCCTTGGAAAGCAGTGGGAGATGGCTCAAGTATTTAGGCCCTGCACCCACGTGGGAGACCTGGAAGAAGCAACTGGCTCCTGGCTTCAGATCGGCCCAGTTCCAGCTGTTGCAGCCATTTGGGGCGTGAACTAGCAGATGGAAGAGCTTTCTCTCTGTCTCTCCCTCTGTCTGTAACTCTACCTCTCAAGTAAACAAAATATTTTAAAAAATACATTGCACACTTGAAAATGTGGTATATATATATATATATATATATATATAAACACACACTATGGAATACTACTCAGCCATAAAAAAGAATGAAATCCTGTCTTTTGCAACAAAATAGATGCATCTGGAAACCATTATGCCTAGTGAAATCAACCAGTCCCCAAAAGAAAAATATCATGTGTTTTCTCTGATTTGTAATAATTAATATAGAATATAAAAAGGTATAAGAATAAAACAGATATCTTGTGATTTGATTATTGTTTTTAGCCTTTGTTTACACTCCTGTGAAACAGTGAGCTTTATACTTTTTGCTTGTTGAATATTATGGTTAGTGGGGCATTGATCTTGTGATTATAGAGTAGACAGGGATTGTATATTCGCAAAAGTTGAAGAAAAGAAGAAGGGAAGGGAGTTGGGATTGGGAAAGGTAGAGAGGGGAGAAAGCATTACAGTTGTTTTCTTGGAGTTGTACCTGTGGAATGCATAATATCTGTTCTCTTTATATTGATAAAAATTTAAAAAATAAAAATTTTAAAAAATAAAACCTTGCAAAACTATGGGGTAACCTGGAAGGCAGCAGCTAATGGCACAAGTGCTTGAGTCCATGCCATCCTCATGGGAGACCAAGATGGAGTTCCTGGCTTCTGGCTTTGGCCTGGCCCAACCCCGGATTTTGTGGGCATTTGGGGAGTAAACCAGTGGATGGAAGATCTCATATTTTCTCTCTCTCTGTCTCTCTCTCTGTCTCTCTCTCTCTCTCTCTCTCTCTCTGTGTGTGTGTGAGAGAGAGAGAGAGAGACTGCCTTTCAAATAAATAAATTTTTAAAAAAGAATAATATGGTCTAGTCACAGGGAAATGACTGTAGCTCACAATAATGTATCATATACTACATAAAGAACTGGAAAAGAAGAGCCAGTAGATGCCAAACAAGGAATAAGAATGGGGACATAGAAATGGTGATTACCTGATTTAGTCACTTTATACTGTATGCACGTGTTGAGATGCTGCACTGTGCCCAGAGAAATGTACAACTACTACATGTTAATCAAATGTTTTTATCTAACAAAAATTCCCAACATTTTATTGATAAAAGACAAAAGCATGAGTAGATTGTTCAACAGTACTTGGAGGTGGCAACATTCTACTTTCAAAAATATACAGAGCAACTATTAATAAGACTGAAAATGACATAGATTTGAACATTATAAAACAGTTAATGGATATATATCACACCACACAACAAGAGAATATGCAATCCATTAACATGTACAAGCAACATTTTTCAGACAATTTGCTTTTCTTAAAATGCGTTGAATAAATTAAAAAATTAAAACAAATATTTTCATGATATCAAAGTCTCATTGATTCTGGAGAAAAAAATTTTATTTCCTGAAAACATTTGGCTCTACATTCTTGATTCAAAGAACATTCCAAATGAAAATATCTCTTAAATCAAAATTGCTCTGCTTCTCTTTTTTAAAGTAATTTTTTCTTCTTTTTCTAGGAAGCTGAAAAATGAACTCTTAGAAGCAAAACGCAGAAGTGGGAAGACTCAACAGGAGACCAGCAGAGTCTGTGTTCACTGTCAAAGACACCTGGGCCTAATCTTTGACCGTGGTGACCCATGCCAGGCCTGTTCACTGAGGGTATGCAGTGCATGTCGGGTCACAGGCCTTGATGGCAGCTGGAAGTGCACTATCTGTGCCAGAGTCTCGTAAGTTTCTTTTCATGGAAACTGTATATTTAATGACTGAAGGGATTAGTGGATAAAACAAGAAAAGGGGTATTTTAAATTTAGGGATAGGGAATAAGATCAAAATTATTTAGTCCAACCATAGTCTTAATGCCTTGGCTTTGCTTTGGTGTGTGTGTGTGTGTGAGAGAGAGGGTTTTTTTTTTTTATTTCAAAACATAGTTATTGTGTATGTGTGAGAGAGATAGAGACAGACAGACAGACAGATGGAGGCAGATACAGTCAGAGAACTGTATTTTAAAAAACTCAAAGCCTAGTATAATTAGAAGTCTCACAGAACCAGGTCTCTTTCTGTACTCAAAAACTACCCATGTGCTTTCTTCTCTGAGAGCCCATCTTGGCATTACATGGCTTCCAAGAAGGCACAGACAATTCCACTGAGACATTCTTAGACATTCGGGATGACTGGCAAGATGTGGATCAAATGTCCTGCCTTCTAATCACATCAGATTAGGAGCAAAGCTGGAGTGTTTCTGAATTCCCTCCAAACCTACTTCTTTAGTTATGGTGAAGGGGAGAGAACATCCCATTCACCTGCCTGTTCAGGCTGTGGGAGTGTAGTAGGCACAGATTTCACTCTGCAAACGTGGACACCTGTCAGAAGTCACTGTTTCTAAGTTGCACAAGAGTCTAATAGGCATGAGTCAGTCTCCACTGCTTCTGGGGCCTGTCAAACTCCCATCCTTTGGAGAAATTTCCCCTGGATTAAATGGCATGTTTTCTCCATCCCAATAATCTGTCTACTCTATTTTGGGAGTGTCTCATAACCTCCTCTTAAGGCAATTCAATGTTCATCTTTCTCCTGTGGTTGTGGTAGGAAATAGTAATATTAATCCAGTTTGTTGGCCTGCTTTGGTTTGGTTTGTCTTGTCTTTCCCCTCACTAACTTGCCCTGTTATAGGAGAAAGTCTGTCCCAGGAGGAAACATGAATAGTGTGACAGTAGAAGTGAGCTTCCATTTACAATTTTTCTGAATGAGGAATACTATCCTGGATTCAGTTGATTGCATTATTTAGCTAATGTTATTCTTCCTATATAGTTTCACAAAGGTCATCTTGAATAGGACAATATGTTCTATGTTTCAATCCTGGGTGGGACATATCACTATCTTCCTAAACCTGTATATATATGAAATACATGAAACTTGTAAAACTTAAATAAAATTTTAAATTTTTTAAAAATAAATGAACCATCAAAACTCTTGTACTACTTAACTTTTTATGCATTACTTTGTTTTGTTAAACAATCTTCCTTGATTCTTTGTCCCACATAGAAAAATTTCTCTTAGTACTTCCTTCTCATTATTAGCAAGCATCCTTTGCCAAATCTAGGAGGATAAACCCTGATGAAACTGTGAACATACTGGTTTGGAGTTCTTCCTCTATTATGTATAAAAGCTATGTTGCTTACCTGTGTTGCAGATATCTTCTCCCACCTTCTTGCTTGGTTTTCACTCTTAATTATATCATCTAATGAACAGAAACATAATTTTTCCTAGTTCAATTTGTTCATCTTTTCCTGTATCATTAGTGGGATATTTTTCTGTATGCTGTTAAATAAAACTTTCCCCAACCCCCATGTTTTAGTCACCTTTGCAACACTATAACAAGATTCCTGACAAAGACTAGTTATGAAGAAAAGGTTTATTTAGCTTGTAGTTTTTGAAATTCAAGGGCATGGCACCTGCATTAGCTTAGTTCTGCTGAAGATCTTATGGAAAACAGTGATAGAAAATAGCACATGGCAATGGCAGGAGTACATGTAGGGACAAGGGACCACATCTTGAACCAAGAGATTAGAGGATTGAGTGGGGCCAGATTTTTTCCTTTTCTAACTATCATCTCATAGAACTACTAAGGGTTCGGCCGGCGCCGCGGCTCACTAGGCTAATCCTCCGCCTAGCGGCGCCGGCACACCGGGTTCTAGTCCCGGTCGGGGCGCCAGATTCTGTCCCGGTTGCCCCTCTTCCAGGCCAGCTCTCTGCTGTGGCCCAGGAGTGCAGTGGAGGATGGCCCAGGTGCTTGGGCCCTGCACCCCATGGGAGACCAGGAAAAGCACCTGGCTCCTGGCTCCTGCCATCGGATCAGCGCGGTGCGCCGGCCGCAGCGGCCATTGGAGGGTGAACCAACGGCAAAGGAAGACCTTTCTCTCTGTCTCTCTCTCTCACTGTCCACTCTGCCTGTCAAAAAAAATAATAATAATAAAAAAAAGAACTACTAAGGGTTCACATGAGAGCATGGCTCCAATGATCTAAAGACTTTGCATTGACCATGCCACTTAAAAAGGTTTCACCACCTCCCAATATAGTCACTTAGTTGACCAAGCCTCCACTCACAATGGACCCTTGGAGAACTTTCATGCCACTTCCAAATTCTTAGCATCCCAAATCATGAAAATATTCTCCTATGTGATAATCTGTAATTGTTATTATTTTACCTCTAGCTTTAAAAATCTACTGGAACTGATTGTTATGTAGGTTGTTAGTGTTTAATTTTATCTTTTAATATGGAAATTATACAGTGGTTTATATGCTTATCCTAGAAGTTTCTATTAAATTATGTTTATTGTGTTGTCCAAATTTTCCATACCCTTACTAATTTTTATCTGCATATTCAGTCAGATATTGTGGGAGTTATGCTAAACTCTCAATAAATAATTGTAAGGTCCCTATTTATCCTTTTAGTTCTGATTATATTTCCTTTACATATTTCAGCTTACTACATAATTACCCCTACTGTGTCTCTATAGTCTTTCCCATATCTGTATGCTTCCACTTGGAATAGTTTTTCTTTTGCCTAAAAGTTACCATTTAGTATTTCCTTTAATGTAGTTACCTTATATAAATGCTTTCACTGTTTATTTTTCTTAGCCTGGCTATATTTTACTTTTAATTTTCAAACATGTTTCCCTAGTTATTGAATCTTAAGTGGTAGGTATAAACTCTAATTTGGAGATCCTGTTGGCTTATTGTTTCTAATACTTCTATTAAGAAATGAGCTATCAGTGTACTGTTGCTCCTTTAAATGTAATATTTTATTTGACCACTTTTAATATTTTCCTTTTTTCTGTTTGGATTTTCAGCAGTTACTGTAACGTGCATTGGTCTGAATTTTCTTTGTTTTTATCCAGATTGTGTATCCTAAAGCATCTTCAATCATTACCTTACTGTCTTTTGTTACACTTGAAAACTTCTCAGACAGTATCTCCTCAGACACTTCTTTTTCATATTATCTTTTTCCTTTACTAATTGATATTACAAATATGTATCTTACTAATACTCAATATCATATATTTCTTATCCTCCTTTCTTTTGTTATCCTTTTATATCTCTGAATTCAGTTTTTATATTTGTCTGACCTAGCTTCCAATTCATGCAATCCTGTCTTTGAATATTATCTAATTTTCTGTTAAACCTAGCTTTTTAATTCTTAAATTCTATTATGTTGTTATTCAGCTTTAGGATTTTCATTTTGTTTCTGTTATTTTTTTCTTTTTTGACCTTCTCATTCTGTTCTTGCAGTATTTTGAATCAGTTATCTTAGTTATTTTAAAGTCGGTGGATTATAGCTCCATTATCAGATTCCCCTATAAAACTGTTTCTATTGTTTTTCTTTCTCTTGGTTTTGGTCCTGTCTTCTTATAAAGCTTGGAGTTTTTGATTAATGGTCAAAGTCTACGAAAAATGATAAAACATATTGTTATCCTGTATATTATGCATCTATTGGTAATATAAATTTTTCTTCTAGAAAGGAAATGGGATAGGGCCACTGCATATTCATGATTATATTGATCAAGTCAAAGATTGAACTAATTTCAAAACTGGGATTTCAGTCCCCATGAGTGCTGACCTGTTTCTGGATCACATTTTTTTTCATGAAGAATAGTCCTTCAATGTCTCATAACATACCTCTCAGGTAAGAGAGGCAATTGGAGCTGGCATTGTGGTGTAGCAAGTAAAGCCATTGCCTACAATGCCAGCATCCCATATGGGCACTGGTTCATGTCCCAGCTACTCCACTTCTGATCCAGCTGTCTGATGATGGCCTGGGAAAAGCAGCAGAAAATTGCCCAAGTATTTGGGCCCCTGCTGCTATGTGGGAGACTGTAAGAAGCTCCTAACTCCTGGCTTCAGTTTGGCCCAGCCCTAGCCATTGCAACCATCTGGGGAGTGAAAAAGTGGATAAAAGATCACTTTCTCCCTCCCTCTTCCCTCGTTCCCTCTCACTCTCCCTCCTTAACTCTGACTTTCAAATAAATAAATAAATCTTAAAAAAACGGAGAGGCAATTGTATTTTTTTATTTTTTACATAGTTTAAACAAGAACAATAAGAGTTAGAATGTGTGTATGTAGAGTTGGGATGAGTGTCAATGTTGTTGAGTTTTCTTATTTGTTACTTCACTCAGCTCTTTTCCCACCAGACTATCAAGATGAGGTTGCCGTTTCAGGGCAATGAAGAAGTAAATGGCTGGCGCCACAGCTCACTAGGCTAATCCTCCACCTGCGGCGCCAGCACCCCAGGTTCTAGTCCCAGTTGTGGTGCCAGATTCTGTGTCCCGGTTTCTGCTCTTCCAGTCCAGCTCTCTGCTGTGGCCCGGGAGTGCAGTGGAGGATGGCCCAAGTGCTTGGGCCCTGCACCCGCATGGGAGACCAGGAGAAGTACCTGGCTTCTGGCTTCGGATTGGCGCAGCGCACCGGCTGTAGCGGCCATTTGGGGAGTGAACCAACGGAAAAGGAAGACCTTTCTGTCTCTCTCTCTCACTGTCTAACTCTGCCTGTCAAAAAAAAAGAGTAAATGGAATTTTAATAATTGGTTGATCTTCTAGTTACAGAATTTGAGGACTCATGGGAAATTTCTCAATAATTATTTCTCCAATTCTTATAAAGTACTATGTATTTGGTCCTTAGTATTTATTCTTTTCCATTTTTATTCTATTTCTGTTTACCCTCTTCTTTATACCCT